CCTTTCAGACATCTACTGGATGTGGCCACATGCACTTTTCATCGGCAAAGGATCCGGCAAGATCCTGAATTTCTGGTGTAGGAATCATGTAATCTGTGCACTTTCAATATGACTTGTCGGTGCCGAGCCTATGTAGCATTTTGTCCAGCTCTTGCATGCAGGACCTGCTGTGACGGTTGCCCGGACTCTAGGCCAGCACCTGAAACCGTGAAGACCTATACACATCCAGGGCTTCTAGATGCAATATACTCGATTTGCAGTATAATGGACGTTGGCTCCTGGATCTTGAAAGATGTTTAAGGTTGTCGCATTACTGGTCCGAAGTGTTAGGATCTTCCAGCTCCGAAACCCCCCCCCCCCCCCCCCCGCGAAACCACAACAGAGCGGAAACCATTAAGACAACTGACAGGTCCAGAAACAGCCTTCGCAGCCTTCAGTTTACAGCCGACCCTGCAGCTTCGCTCAGCACTCCCCTGCTTGTCGTCGGGCTTTTCAGTCTTGAGGCCCCTTTCGCTCCTTTTTTCATGGTGTCAGCTGCAAGCGCTGCTTTAGGATTTTCCAGAATCTGTCAGGGACTCCCGAGAGAAAGCCTGCAAAAAGGAGATGAGCAGTCAATGTGTGCCAGCGGGACTTCTGCCGCGCTTGGATCACACAGGGCCGAGACTTCTGTTTCACGTGCCCTAATTAACTTGGCAGCGTTCTGCAAATGCTTCAGGGGCCTAGCTGCTCAGAGGTGTATCGCTGATTAAAGCTCTCAGGTCCTCTCTCGGTGAACATTCTACACAGAGGCAACTCCTGATCTTGTAGCATTTTGCTTTGCATTTTTCGGGAGGTGGGCCGCAATGCAGCATTGCATTATGCTGCTTTGCCAGTTGAACATGCAGCTGCTGGTATGTTTGGCGTTGTGGTGCTACTTCGTTGTGTCTGTGGTTGGGCTCTGTCCGCGGCTCTTTGCAGTTTTGTCTTACTTCCAGCTGAGTGCATTCCTCCAACTCCACTTTTTTGTTTTCGGCTCCCCTCTTCTGATCCGTAATTGAAAAATTGTACCCCACTGCCTCAACAGAGACAACCGCAGGATTCCCGTGATGCTGCGCAGGACGCATCGTTTGATATTGCGTTATCACTTGAATCTCCTGGAAAACCCAGGGAAGAGGCAAGTCCAGTCTCCGGAGGAATACTGATGCCTTGCCTCATGTCCAGGCTCGCTCCCTCGACAGGCACAGACTCGGCCAATTTGAGATTCGAGCCATGAAGATAGACATGAAGAAAGTGTGCCACGCGACCATTGCATACATTCATTCATGCAGACTTGCAGACACTCCAGGACAGAACAAATCACAACGGCACCTGAGTGAGCGTTCAAACGTACGCACGAACAACCCATGCAGCAACACAATCTTGAACACTCTCCCGCGTGTGCAGCCCATGTAGATGTCGATTTCAGGAATATTAGCAACCTGCAGATTAGTCTTGAGCAGTACATTGAACATGCCTGCCTGCCTGCCAGCGTACATACATACATACGTGTCTATATCATTCTATATATCTAGATTTATAACTACAGCAATATCTACATGCATGCATACAGGCGTGCACGCAAGCCAGGCAACCGCAGACACTGCCAAGACAGTGTGGTAGGCATCGCATGCAAAACGATCACACAGAAATACACAGAAATATGCATGTACGAAAGCATGCCAAGGCATATTCAACCAGATTTGCTTAAAATTCAATGTAGCGCTTTGAAGGCTGGTGTCTTCAAGCGAGAGAGCCGCAATGTCATTGTCATGTCTGCATTGCCTTTCAGCGATGGTTGAAACTAGGGGCACGGCTCAGCGCCATGACAGGCCGGAACGGAAACAGCTGGTTAGGCCTTGTTCCACGATCGACGATGCATTTAGTGTGGGATTGCGGGGGAGCATTTTCGGGGTTCAATGTTACTGATTGTTGGACCTTCGTTGGAGTATGGGCTTGGTGATGTGGGGTTGGCCGAAATTTTAAAAAGGCTTCGTGCGTTGACCCTCAACTAACTACAGCTTCCCGCCGTAGCTAAACTGCAAGGAATTGTAAATGATAGGCGATCTTCGTGATTTCGAAAGGTTGGGAATGGGGCGCTATCGAGGGTTAGCCTTCTCGTCTGTCGGCTTGGACTCGGGACTCGAGTGCTTGCTCAGCATTGGGTTTTCGCTTGCCTATCGTTCAAGCGGTCATGTGCAGAGGCTAGTCAGCACTGAACCTTGCAGCTAAAACTGCGTCCTTGGAAACTGCCCCATGTGTTGCACCTTTATGCTGCAGATGTCCGCCGATGTGATTCATGACTACTACGTACAATTCCAAGTGCAGTCTCGTGGCATATTGTCGTCCACTAGCATGTGGCCCACAATTTAGGTTCGGCTCTGAGCCATACCATACCGGGAGCTGCCATGCGGGAGCCAAAAATTCCAAAATGCATCCTCTGTTATTCTATAGCATTATTCAACACTTCACAACGCCATTCGGAAAATTGGTTGGGTTGTTTCATGTTGTTTCCGGAGTACTATGAGCTGCTTGTGCTAGGAGTTTGAGAAGCTCTTGGCAAATTCGCGGGTATGCAAGGGGCTTCGGTTAACTCAGTTCTACTCGCTGCACATATCCGGGCCTGTCACGGGCCGAAGTCCGAGGGGCTCATCACTGACCCTAGGGTTGTGCTGATGATGGCAGACTGGGTAGGGATCTACACGTGCTTACCAGCAGAGGTGAGACATTGCCGAAGTAAGATGCGTGTCTGTTTTCTGGCAGGATACTAAAACAAGACTAGCAAGTACATGAGGAAACGTTGTTTGCACATCTAAAGGGAGTCGGAAGAGTATAGTCCATCGCCTCCCCAGGCTGAAGTGCTTGGTTTGGGAATCAAAGACGTCAGACATGTATGTGCAATCAAAACCCTCGAAAAAGAATCTCGACGATGCCAAAGGCTTCCTGTGTCGGCGACAACCCTGGCATTTCAAGATCTCTTTGCATTTCCTTGAAGGGACTTGCTGGCAGAAGCCACAGGAAGTTGGATGATTAGACCCGGGGCTTTAGGGCTTGGGCTTCAGGGGGTCTGAGCACGTACAGGTGTACCATGTCGAAGTGAGGTGTCCACACATAGCATGCTAAAACCGCATCGTATCAACGTCCGAACGAGAAGGCCTGTTGCCACAGATCTATGCACGGCCATGTTCCGGACATCTATCCCATGAATCAGAAGTGTCTAGAGACCGCAGCAAGGGCTGGCACCATTGGGGTGCGATCCACGAACTTCTGTCAGCAACACCGTTTGAGGAATTGCGATGGGTCTCATACCCGGTGCTGGAGACAGATGCCGGCCAAAAGTGTGGTGGGAATTCTAGGGCTCGTGGACCCATCAACGACACTGTGCTGGACAACCTCAAACTGCTAATTATCATTCAGGAACCTCCAGGGGCCCCTTTGAGGAGATGGTTCAACACATGAGGTGAGGGAGAATCAACCGCATCTCGACCGCTGAGTCCTAGGTTGCAAATGACTCTGAACATGCGTCACGTCTGTTGAACTATTGCATTCCATCTGCATGACCCTGACAATGCTAGTCGCTGAGACAGTTTTTCGCGCGGCACAAAGGGGGCCTACCGAGGATGGACATCTTTGGACTCGCCGAGTTTCTGAGCTGAATCGGCACGGAGCCCAGGTGACTGCGCCAAAGAAGACTGGGAGTAAACAAGTGGAACAGGAAGCCAAGAGCAGTTTGGAACTTGCAGGAGACGCTTCGCAAGTTCTGTCGGTCCGGACTGCCAGACTGAAGGAGACATGCTCTCGAGCATCACAGAAATGGATGGGATCCTGTGGTTTCGACATTGGGCCCTCCAGTTCGTATGCCAAGTGCTCTAGCATCACTATCGTGAAACCTCCGTGCCATGACGAGAGTGGGTTGAAACCTCAACAAAGATCCGAGAACATCAACAAGCATCTGCAAGAACATCAAAAAGATTATGTGGTAGCCCACAGATCAGATATTCACATGATCACGCAGCAAAATGCCCCCAGCTCCCTGGACCCCAGAGAGGCCAGAGCCGGGCGCGGGGAGTACGATTTTCGAGACTTTCAAGGCTCAAAGCGCCGAAATTTTGTACTCCCCCGCGCCCGTGCCCCCCAGCTCCCTGGACCCCAGAGAGGCTAGAGCACGGGCGCGGGGGGAGTACGATTTTCGAGACGTCCAAGGCTCAAAACCGAAATCGACTCCCCTGCGCCCGTGCCCCCCCCGCTCCCTGGACCCCAGAGAGGCTAGAGCACGGGCGCGGGGGGAGTACGATTTTCGAGACGTCCAAGGCTCAAAATGCCGAAATCTACTCCCCTGCGCCCGTGCCCCCCCCGCTCCCTGGAGCGTGAGTACGATTTTCGAGACTTTCAGGGCTCCAAAAGCCGAAATCTGTACTCCCTCGGAGCCTCCGTGAGGTTGGCATATCGATTCTGCAATGTCAGTGGTTTCAGAGGGGTGCTCTTCAACTTGCCGTTCTGATTCCTCAATTTGCTGTCCTGTTTCCTACATTTCTTGTTGTGGTTCCTGCGCTTCTTGTTGTGGTTCTCGCTCGTGTTCCTTCTTGTGGTTACACCCATGTCTCGTGCCATGACCGCTTCAGTCACAAAAACGTACAGTTCGCTAAATGCCTGCAACATGTGCTTTTTAGTAGCATCCTTGTGCCGCTTTCACTGCACCAGTATCCTAGGCTCTGTTTCGTTACCTCACTGCCAAAGTACATCCTATCGGGATCCTGACAGGTTGAGCACTGTGAAGCTGAGCAGATCGACAGCTTCAATCGTCAATCCCAAAGGCGTCATTGTGTCACCATATGTCGAGTCAATGTCACCAGCACAGCTTCCACATGACTCATCCTGGAATCAGCACCTGTGCCCTTCAATGGTTGAGGCCGGCTTAGACCACACGGCAGGAAGCCAAAACCCGAAGTCGAAAATAGGTGCAGCTTACATCTTGTCCCACGGCTATGGGCTTCCAGCGCGGTCTGTCGCAGTGGCTGACCTTCGTGGCGGCGTCGGGACTGTTTGAAGACTTCCTGTGGATAAGTCAAAGCTACGATGAGATCTCCCAGTGGCTCCAGGACATTGCTACAGATGCCCACAGCTTCGTCCTAGTGGGGATTTTCGGCCCATGCGCAAAAAGCACGCGCGCCGAGAAGACCAGGCGTGTTTGCCTCGAGCGAGGCCTCGACTCCGGGCGGGGAACGAACAGATTGATCAAAGTTGCAAATGATTGGGAGACGGAAAGAAGAAAAAGGTTTCACTACGTAATCTATGCCGACGACAATGGTGCATTCACCTTCAGAGCCGACTGCTCTCCTGCTGGCTGTGGCGATATCGGCACAACACCCCGAAAGAACGAGACAGCGCCGCAGTTCTTCCAGCGTTTACTACTCCAGCATCAGCCGGCTGTCGCGTCCCCGATCATGGGGGATGATTCGGAGCCGGAGAGGATGTTTATTTGCGCATCCACCTTCGACCGGAAGATCACCGCACACCATTGGTCAGTGCGACACCACACTCTTCTTGTGTTGGAAGAGTTCCTGGAAGTGTCCATGCTCGCCGCCACCACTTGTGTGCTCAATGAGCTGGTGGAAGCAACCTACCGTGGATACACCATCCTGTACAGGCCGTTTCAACGAGCAGGGAACGGCACTCGCTACTATGAGCACAGAGGAAACTATATCCGAAATATGCATCCCTGCTTACCTCGCAAAGTTGCGGATGGATGGGAGGACAGCCAACTTGTCTCCTGGATGCGCCCTCAGCTCTCACGTTGTGCTTCCGAGCAGCTCGGGCCATCAGTTTATCTCCAGCAAGGTCGTCCTGTGTACGCCTGTTTGAAACCTCCTCGGAAGGTTGACTACTCAAGGTTCCTCCCGTGTACTCCATGGGCTAGGCCGGGGGATGATGACTTCTGCGTGAAGAAGCCGACTGCGAACCGACGCCCAAAGGCAGATGGAGAGCGCTTTGTTGACAAGTTTATGCGAGGCATGGTTGGGCACGGATGGCCGGACCTTCCACGGCTGGACCCTGCGAAGGCTAGGGATCGCCTTTGCATGTTGGGCCGCCGCAACTACAAGGGCCTCGTTCGACACTATGCCTCCAGACCGGCGGTGAACGGAAAGCTAGCTCATCTTCCGGACGGCTTTCAATGCGACGATCCGTGCAATGCCCTGCTGTTCGGGGCAGCCTTGCAATCTCAGCAGCCAAGCCATGTAGTCGCCGCGCAACCTGAGTTGCAAGCCATCGACTGGCAAACCGAATGCATGACCAGTTTTCTCCGCTCATGGTCTATGATGGACCTGCTCGGTGGCGGGTGGTCTTCGATGTACGAGCTGATGCAGCAAGAGGTCGAGCGGCGCTCGCAAAGCCAACTTGAAACTCGTGACCCTGTTGCTTTGACGGCTGCCGTCCCACCTGAAATTTGGGAGTCCATCTCGATCCTTGGCCGGCAGTCGTGGGGAGATTTTCCTTGTCAGGTAGACACCTTCGTGAGACTCATCCTTCCGGCCGTCGAGAACTCCACGCTCCGTGCTGGACGAGTCCATGCAGCACAGACCTACATCTTCAGCTGCGCGATCGAGTCATGGCTGCACCCAAGCATGGCTTCGGTGTGGGCCGTCATTGCCCTGATCGGAAGGCTTGGTGTGAATGTCGAAGTTGCGTCGCCTTGTGATCCAGAAAAACAGTCTGCAGCATCACCGTCCACTTCAGGGTGCCACAAGCGGCACTAGTACAATTCCTTAAGAGTCGGCTGCTTCAGATCGGCTGTGCTTATATCCCCAATCCCGAAATCACCCCTGCCCTTTTAAAACCAAATTTGCATGAGGGAAGTCCGGAGCAAGAGCAACAGCAACACCAAAAGCAAGAGCAGGAGTAAGAGCAAGAGCACAAGCAAGATCAGGAGTGGTAAGAGCAAAAGCAAGAGCAAGAGTAAGAGCAGAGCAGGAGGAAGGGCAGAAGCAGAAGCCAGATCAGGAGCAAGAGCAAGATCCTTGAAAAGCGACAGCAGAGATAAACATGCAGCTTTAACAAAAGGGGAAACAACACATTCCGAGATTTTATTGGGGGTCCCCCCCTTGGGTTTGTTTTTAGTATTAGGGGATCTGGAAAGCCTGGCTAGAATGAGGGGGCCGCAGCCGGAAGCAAGTAGGCCCTAGAACCCGTAGCAGCCAGTACCTTGGCCCAATCCGTGCATATCCGCCAGAGGCACACAACCAAACACGGCTTGAGGCGGCTGCAGTAGGGTGTAGAAACAACAGACCTCACTTCGGCTGGTGTTTGCTTCGAGCACGTGTACACTCTGTGGATGACCTTGATTGGGCTGTCAGTGCCAGAAACTATCCTCTGCAACCTGCGACGTCGACCTTGCAGGAGCAACGTCTCGCATTGCCTGCATCTGAAGGGCGCAGGTGCAAGCATGGAAATGTCATCGAACCTGTTTGCTGTTCAGGTGTTGTCACCGATTTCCATGGCGGAAATTTGAGCATGAGGGCCTGCTGTCTTAAGACACATATGTTGACATACATAGAGACCATCACTAGTGCTTGGCACTCCCTGGATCCATACCTTTTGCAGACAAACCAGTTGCATAATACTTAGCAAACAGCAAGAAACCTGTTACTAGTAGTCGTTCTTACCAGGTATAAGCAGCCCCAACTACCAGCATGATGACTGCGTCCTCGAGTCAAACTGACATCACAACTGTGCTCAGCTGTTCTCCCCTCGCTAAAAAGGTGGTATGATTCCACAGCATCGTGCCAGTGCTTGACTTGCATTGAAACTGTTGTCTTTTCGTCGGATGTCTAGTTTTAACTGTACACAGCTCCCTGTCACTGCGGTTGATACACCAAGTTCTCTATAAGTACGCTCAGTATTACACCACTAACGTTTGGACACCAGCTCATTGCCGAACCAGGTCCAAACGAGGTCCACGACTTCCCCACTCTGCCCCTCAGCATGAATACCTGCCCTGAACGCCTTCAAGCAATGGAGCCGGCTGATAGTGGAAACCAAGAACATGTCGCGGCTCAGCATTCGTTGCCTGTCCGAGCTTGCCCCCACAACCAGGAGGGCCTGCAGCGTATCCCCCCCCCCCCCCCTAGCATGCACCAGGGAACACATCGGGGTGCACCGAGGTCATGATGAAGTCGGGAGTTTCTCAGAGGATGCGACGCCATAGACACAAATATTGTTGAATGATCCTTCCTTACGGTGCAGCCAGGCATGCAGCATTTTGTCTGTAGCGCACCGATGTTCGGGCTTGTGCAACTGACCCTTGCAACTTCGATTCCAAGTTCAGTCAGACTGGGACACGTGAACCTTGATCTCGTCGAGTTCTCAAGTAAGTTCGTCTGCAAGCCTTGAACTCCCCGTGCCAAGGCAAGCAGGGTGTTAACTTAGCGTACATAACCTGTCGTGGAGAACGAGCTGTGTTGGCAACCGAAGATAAGGTTTGATTTTCATTCCCGGCAGTTTCCTGGCGGTTCATACAAGAATTGATTAATGTCTTTGCTTCGGGCTAAGCTTGAGTTTGTGCTTCTTCAATGTCATACTGTGCATGGTCGATCTGATAGACCGAGTCTCACAGGGGGGTCTGATACAACTTAGTGCATTTTGCCACAAGTGCGCAAGCTATGCTGGTCATGTTGCCAGAGACAATCTGACCTGTCAGAAAGACGTCCAACACAACATTCCGCTAGAGAATTGCTGTCGCCAATGCAACCATGTTGATTGGTGTCGCTCATTATCTGCAAGCACTGCATAGTTTTGCAAAGTACAGTAGCGCTAGCAAGGCTAGCAAACAGACATTTGCACTGACGGAGCTATGCCAGCTATGCGTGCAGCTGCCCTGGTGCTCGCACTTCGGTGATCGTGAAAATGGGGAAGCTGGGGTCCAGGTCGTTTGTGGCCGTGGTGCAAAGGAATCTTTCAGCAGTGGCTTTGACTGCCTTTGACCTCAAGAGGGACTCGACCGGCGCGAACATGAAGCTCTTAGATGTTAGTCTGAGGGCGGCGCAGGGTCTGATCGACAACATGGACTACATCCTCCCAGTGCATGATAGTAATCAGCTGGACGTGAACCAGGCGCTCTTTGCTTACGCCATGTTCTTGCCTGTCTCTTAGGAAGGGGTGGACATTCCCAAGATACTGAAATGGAACGACTCCATGCGGCCGAATACAACACGTCCTGTGCTGCTTTCCTGCCTGAGGCCATCTTCTTCCGATGGAATCTGTTGGAGCTGCTGTTGCACTGGGTGCAGTTTCGGGGCGAGTGGCTCGACCACATGCCCTCGTTTACTTCCCGCTTGCTTTGGCAGCCCCTTGCCTCCATCTTATGGGGACTTGGGTCTTGCTTCGGCCGAATTTCAAGCTCGAATGTCGACTGAATCTAAACCACACGCTGCAGAGAGTGAACAGGTTCTACACCTGCGCGCTTCCATTGCGCGTCTTCGTTTTGCACATCTACCGGGTGTTCTGGCCCTTGCTGTACTGCAGCCTGGCGGTGAAGTATCAAGTGGCAGAACCGTATCGCATAATTTCCGACACTGACCTCAGCAGTTTTAGCACACGAGCTTTGGTGAAGAGGGTGGCGCTGCTGCAGTCTTTACCAGCATGTGATCGGGGATGCTTCCTGGACCTGTCAGCTGCATTTGCTGCCCTGGCACTTCAAGCAGGCCAGAGACAGCAGGAGTCTGAGCTCTACGGCTATTTGGGTGACACACAGCTCATGCTCCAATCGGCTTTCTGTGAGAGCATTATCGATTGCGTTCGGACCCGCTCGGACGCAGAGCTCCTGCGCACGACCTGTGGCTTTCTACACAGAGTGGCAGAACTGCCACTTGTACGACAAAGGCGCTTTCAGGTCCTTGCAAATGCAGGGGAGGCCTTGGGACGCACTGAGTTTGAAGGCTCACGTGCTGCAACACTTCTTGCCACTTTGCAGAACGACAACCTGTGGTCACGGCCTTTTCGACTGAGCCCTGCTGACGAGATTGAGGCTGCGTGCGTTGACAAGATGGACATGGATCCGATAAGTCCAGCGCGAGCCTTGAGCCTCTACAGCATGCTCAGCACCGTCGGCCAAGTCCTTTCCCGATTTGGTGTGGAATGGTTTGCCTCGCATGGCACGCTGTTGGGAGCCATTAGGCATGCGGGTCAGATTCCGCATGATTGTGACCTTGACATATCCATATTTTCTCAGGATCTGCACATGCTGCGAAATGCATCGGTAATGCTGGCACTGCAGCGGAATGGCTACCAGCTGGATTATCTGCCAGTGCAAAACTTGTTTACAGTTTGGCGTGTTGGTCAGCACACGGGAACAGAGGTGCGTGGGGCACGTGCCGTCAACAACATGAACATGTACCGCGCCGCTTTGCACATCTTCGTGCTGTTCGACTTCCACGAAACAAAGCAATGGAAGTATGAAACTGACAGGTTGAAGCACCGTGGCTGGATCATGTCAGAGAAAGACTTGCTTCCATTGAAGCTGCGTCCTTTCGGCGACGCATCCATTCCAGTCCCTGCGCAGCCGGAAGCCTATTTGGACCGAATGTATGGCCAAGACTGGAACTCAACTGTCCGCTGCATGACAGCGCTGCAAGAGTACCCCTACTACGAGCCAACTCCGTTGACCGTTGCTGGTATGGCCCAGCCAACAGGACCACTGGAGCAAGTTTTCTACGAGTGAACAAAATATTTGCCTTATTAAAGCACCACGAGACATGCTGTCGCAACCTGGTGGGACCCAAAGGGGGGAAGAGTCACGCCTATGTGCGACAGGAATCGCAGCATGTGACGTAAAGTTCGGTCTGAGTTGTTACTGTTAATCTTTCTGCCCAGCAATCTGAACTCCTTGGACCCTACACACTTTAGATCGTACCGCAAAATCTTGTACTGTTGAGCCTCATGACGCATTTAGGCCGCGTGCAGCTTCAACCAAGGCTGGTTCCGGATTCTCCCGCCCAAGGCAGCTCACGTAGCGGCCCTAGCAGAAAGGCTTCCACTTTCTGTATGTCCGGCAGCACGATAGGGTGAAGGGAACCCGGAACCGCCTTGAGACTTGGCCCCTGTGTGATGGAAAGGGTTAGGTTCAGGTTTGCATGTGCAGTTTTTGAGCCCGCGGGTGGTCAGCACCGCCGATTCCTTTTTTTTCGGACATCTTACTCTGCCCCGCACATGACCGCAGTACGAAAGAGACTCATGTGAACTTTTGTGGCCATGATGAACACCTTTTTGGGCTCTGCGCGGCTAACGCCTGAGGCTAAGCAGGTTTGCCAGTGTTCGTGTAGCCCTGCTTCTTATGCTTGATTGAAATCTTAGATGGATTATCGGACTTCTTGGTCAATGGTCCCGAACAACGTAAAACTTTTTTCAACGACATATAGGCTCCACTGGGAAAGGAATTGCTTCGATCTGGACTGCTGAGCAATATGAGCCAGCTCAGCGCAAGAGGGAGGTGTCGTTCTCCGCATCGTTGTGTGGGGTTTTAGTTGTCAAGGTCACCATCCCGCTCACACGCCTAAAAGGGCCAGACACAGATGCAGCTGCCACAGCCGACAGACGCAGACCCACCCCCTCACACCCATACACCCACACACCACATCCCGCAGATCTTATGTCACCTTGCGCTCCACAGGCCAAATGTCTACCTAAAGCCTTCGAATTAAAGGATTTCGTCCTAGCCAGGCGGGAGGCAAAAAATAGGGAAGCAGTGCAGCGTGGGGTCTTCCGTTGTTGTAGGCTGCAGGCTTGGTGTTGCTTCCGTTCTGAGGCCACCGGCCTGACCGTTTCATGCACTTACCAGTGCAAGGTGACAGATGTCAGGTCGTCCGATCGAAATGTGCGCTCGGTCACGAAGTCTTCGGGTATTGAATGCTTGTTGGTAAGCTTTACATGAGGTTGGCAGGTTGCTGCGGCAGAATGATGGAGACATATCACGATAACCATCTGGCTAAAGTGGCTACGGGCTACGGCTACGGGGATATTGACCCATTGCAGTACGACCAAGTCCACCCACCGGCATGGAGTAGATGAAGAGCGACTCCTCAGTTTGCTGAGGCCGAGGCCCACACCTGGGTGGGTCGGGCATGTAATTGCGTACGAGGGGCCGCCGCCTAGGGTGTGTGGAGGGGGGGGATCACAGAATGAAAGCTCCTTCGGGCCGGCAGGTAGGTAGTTAGGCAGGTAAGCAAGTAAGTTAATTAGTACAAGAAATCATGCATGCATGACCATGCATGTATGGATGCAGGGATGTAATAACGTAGGGATGTAGTCCTGTATGCATAAATGGTTGGGTTTATGGATATGCATGTCACTCCGTTTGTCTGTCTGTCTGACTGTCGGTCTATCTGCTTGCTTGCATCTATGTACCACTGTACATATGAATGCACCGTGCATGTGTGCAATCATGCATGTCACGTACCTATTTAGGTAGGTATGCGTAGGTACATAGCTGGTAGGTGTGTGTGTGTGTGTATGTATGCATGCATGCATGCATGCTTGAGTTGAGAAGCTGGTTCGTCTTAGAAAACAGAACGGCGCGTACGCAAGTACATGCATGCAACGCATACATACGGCTAGTGATATACAAATATAACTAAACCTCTGTTTGCATCATGAATGCATACAGCACACATACAGAATCACACGGGCATCCGCCTATCAACTCATACGTGCATGCATGCATGCATGCATGTACGCCTGCCTGCCCCCTGCCCACCCTGCCTACCTCGATACCTATACCGGCCTGCCGACCTACCGACCTTTACCAAACTACCTCCCTACATCCATATGTTGATACATCCCTACATCATGCATGCAAGCATACATGCATACAGGCGCGTAGTAGCATGTTTATACTGTTTGATATATGATGTATTATACAGAATTGGAAAATACCAACAACAACAACAACAACATGCAATAGGACCTCTCTATTTCGCGTAAACTAGGCTTTGTACAAGAGCTTCGGCATGCGTGCGTGCATGCGTGCGTGGGTGGGTGGGTGGCTGGGTGGGTAGGTGGGTAGGTGGGGGTGGGGGGGGTGTGGGTGTGGGTGTGGGTGTGGGTGTGGGTGTGGGTGTGTATATATATATATGTGTGTGTGTGGGTGTGTGTGTGTGAAATTACTGTTCCTAAGGAAGAATTCCCTCGTACATAACCATCACTCGAAATGCAGGGGGCAGTGGCCCACTCAAGAGTCCACTGCCAACGAAGCTACTCTTGAG